AAAGAGCCTGGGAGCTGCACATGGGAGGTCAGAACCCAGACCTGTGGCCATGCTGCACAAGAGGCTGGGAAATGAGTCTTGTTAAGCAATCACAGGATGAAGAATAAATGGTTCAGCCTCTCATTTCAGGATTTGGGGCATGCATACCTATGTGACCACTGTGTTTTCCAAGGCACTGGTTCCAGGACTCGAACGGTACAGTCGGCCATATGGGATCCAGCACCTTAGCCTCCATGCCACCAGCTAGCCCAAAACTTTTATATTTGAGTGCTGCTGCTTCAGTTTTTTTCATGCAAGCAGCCACCAAGTCCAGGATTTATTTACATTTTTAAAAAGCTCTCTTGGGATCAGCAGATGGTGTAATGGTTACGACGCTGGACTCCCACATAGTGAACCGTGAGTCCCAGACCTAGCAGTTTAAAACTTATGCTGGGCACATGTGCATGCCCAAAATCCCAAGAAAAGAATGTAGGAGAAAGGACTGTGCCATAGTGATTCCCCTGGGGGGTGATTTCTTGCTTTCTAGCTCTCTCTCTCTCTCTCTCTCTCTCTCTCTCTCTGCCTCGCTGGTTAGTGCACGCGTTCTATAGCAAAAATCTCTTAAAAAGAAAAAACTCTCTCATAGTGGTCCTGACTGGCCAGTCCCTTATACACAGGGAACCTCAGGGTTGGAGAGTCCTGTTCCTAGCAAAGTCTCACTATCTGTCCAGCCGTCACTAGGACACTAGCATAGGTGGCCCTCATAAAGCTGCAAGCCCTCAAGGGCAGAGACAATATGCTATTCATTAGGGGTACAAGAGCACAGTGCCTGACTTCAGTGAAGCATTTTTAAAAGTTTTCGGGGGGAGGGGGCAGTAGGTTGCAATGTAGTTGGCAGTGTTGTACTTCCACATGGCTGACTGTAGTTTGAGTCCTGGACCTGGTGGCTTGCTTTCTCACTTTCCCTTTCTCTCTCTCACTCTGTCCCTCTCCGGCCAAATAAAAAATAAATAAATAAAGTTAAACACAATCATTCTTTAAAAAACTAAAGGGTTTTGGGCCATCAGGTGGAGTAACAATTAAGGTGCTAGACTCCTATGTGGTTGACCATGGTTTGAGTCCTGGACCGAGAGGCTTGAAATTCACTCCAGACACGTGTGTGTGTGTGCCCAAAATTTCAAGAGGAGAATAGGGAAGGGATTGAGACAAGGCCATCTCCCTTGGAGGAGGTGATTTCTCACTTTTTGTCTATCTCTCTGGTGAGCGCATGTGCTCTATAGCAAAAACTTCTTTTAAAAAAAGTTTTTAAAATAACACCTCTTGAGGCAGGTTGTTTGAGAGTTAATTCCTATTAGAAGATGTGCTTCCCTGAAAGAACGACTTTTAATTGCATCCTACCCCCCACATAGGCACAAACTTAGAAACTGTCTAAGGAAGACCCACGATTCCCACTGCCTTCAGTTCAGGTTCGTCAGATTGTCAAGACTTTCCAATTACCAATCAAAACTTACCATCTATGCTAACCCTTCATGATCCCTGTCCCTCTTCTCAAGCCTTTCTCATCCCCTACCTGGCCTAAGATTTACCTCCCACTCTGCCTCCCACCTGCCCTTGGTACTGTTACTCTTCTTGAATCGTCTATCTGGGACTTTTTTAGTCCAGCCTGAGTCAGACCTTACCAAACTCTCTCTGGCTACCACCAAGGGTCATGGACATCCCTTTGTCTGAATGTCTGAAGCATTCCTTGTCAACCTTCCATCTTGGCACTTAAAAGTAAACTATTAATAACTTGCTTTGTATTTAACTTTCATGAGCTTACTTCTTGCCTCAACTGGATTTTAAACTATAGAGGCTTTTTGTGCCAAGAAGTTAGTACGTTTATATTCCATTTGTGTGAAAAATACAGTAGGACTCATTTCAAACTTTCAACATTTCATGACATGAAAATGAATATGAGTAATTTCCTGTGTTCTTAAACCAGGGACATGTGAGCAGTTCCACTTAATATTTTTGGTATTTTTGTCATTGTTAAAGGGTCTGTGTGCTCACCAAAAAGAGACAGAAAGCACGCCCCCCTCCCTCCAAGGAGGTCTGGGATGCAGTCATGCTGCAACCTCTTCTCTATTTCTTTATCCTGTTGGGATTTGGGGCACCCCAGCACACGGCATTTTTCAAGCCAGAGCAAGATGTTGACTACACAGTTGGCAGGTGGGATCTGGCTCCCTCAACCAACAGGCCAGGGGGTCCGCCCAATAGGAACCGGGCAGAAAACTCAAGAGCTTTAGATAAAAAGATAAACGGCAGGCCCTAACCCTGAAGCTTAGTCTAGAAAAGGGCAGATGGATAAGCAGTGTTTTATAGCAAAATTTGCCAAGGACGGAAGATACACAATACTATGAAAGATAACAAGAGAAGAATAATATTCCTTAGCAGTCAGGAGTGGCTTCTGGGGCTAAAACTGACCCCAGATTTCTACTGGAGTTCACAAGACAGTGAATTAGTAAAAAGCACTATTCCAGGTGGAGGAAGACCATATAGATGAGAAGGGAGAAGCTGTTAGGGGATGCGAATTGATGGTACCCAGAGCGCAAGATGGGCGTGAACCTGAAGGGGGTGCGGGGGTGAAGCGGAGATCAAGTTGAAGGATACACTGTAGCCAAAAGCTTCCCGTAGACACATCAGGGCGACGGCGCTGAAGGGAAAGGAGAGACTGGACTATTCGATACAGTCGGTGACTGATACAGTGGATCGATTCCGCCCTGGAGGCCTGTGGGCAGGAAGATAACCAGCAGGGTATCCTGGAAGCCTTGTGGAAAGTCACACGCTGAGAATGGAGACGTGGCGGCTAAGGCCGCGCCCACACGTCTCCCGGGGTATGGGGCTGTAGCCCGCCAGCCCCACAGGCCGCAGAACCACAGCTGGGCGGGAATCGGTCCACGCAACTCGGCGCGCTCTCGGGGACGTGGCGCTTTCCAGCCAATCCCGGCTACGCAGCTGTGGGACCAATGGCTGCCCCGGCAGGCTTGGCGTCAGCGGCGGGCTTGTTGATGATTGGATCGAAAGCCGTTGGCGCGGCGGATAGGGGCGGGGCGCGGGGCTGCTTCCGGTTGGGCGGTGCTCGTGCGCGTGAGCTGAGCCGGTGGGTGCACAGCGGCCACGGCAACCCAGGCTGTGGGTTTACGGGAGAAGGTGAGTACCGCGGTGCTGCGCTCCTTCTCTGCCCGTTGCTCTTATTCGCTTTCTGTCTGTCCCCAGGCCTCGCTTCCGGAGCGGAATGGTTCTCCTTGATTCAGGGCGAGTGTTTCTGCTGGCGCCGGGGTCCCGGGCCTGAGCCTACTGGCGCTGCAGGGCCCCTCGGCGCACAGCCCGCTAGGAAGCCGCTGCTCGCTTTCCGCGTGCGCTGGGAAGGAGTCTGTGGCTCCTGTCGAACCCTGGCTCCCGGCTTTGCGTCCTGTTGAGTACGATTTATACCTGGCTGACCGCTTCGTTGTCCTCTGTACCATGGCCTTGCCACTCGGCGAGTTCCTAGAACTAGAGGGTCACTTTTGTTTGCCTCCTGAAGGTCGGAGGGCAGTCGGGCAATTTTGTTGTAACAGCTCTCTGCCACCTCCCACTCACCGGCCTGCGAGTATCTGCCAGCCCCGCCCCAGGGGCACATCCCGAGAATAGGGTGCTTCTGCCAAGAAAGTCGTGTTCGTTCTCTTTTAGGGTGGAGAAACACGGGAGAAAAGAACAGGTGAGGACTCCGTGGTATTTTAGAAGTGTCTTTTCCAATTTTAAACAAAAATATCTGTGGTTTCCGTGTTTAGCTGCTTCAGCGAGGAAAAGTAGGGGGAAGCCCTCTACTAGGGAATTTTTTTTGTCTTGCGGAGGTATTTTTTTGTTACCCCAGATCTAGTTTGTATTTTGACATGCTGTGTTCAGAAGTAAGCTTTGAGTCTCTGCAGCTGCCACGAATAATTAAGTAGAGTGAATGCCCTTTCTAATGCTTCTTTTGCATGAAGGCAAAAACATCCTGGGTCTCCTGCT